GCCCTTGCTCTGACTGAACCGAGGGTGTTGTCGGACTTGGACTGATCGTCAGTCAAATCATCGACTTTCCAGAAGACATATTGCTTGTTGGGGTCACGATACATACGTTTGGGTAGTCCCTCCTGGTAGTCCTCAATGGCGATCTCGTGCACTTCAGGTTCCAGATCAAATGAGATCCTGCGATCATCAGAAGACTTCTTCGCGCTGGCTATCCTCGGTGAGGTATAATCCGTAGAATCTTCATTGTCGCTATCAAAGAAGGAATCAATGGTAATGGGAGTCGCTTTCTTCTTTGGTGTTTTCTTGCTGGTTCTTTCTGAAGATGCTGAAGGCGATTGATCTGCATGCAGGAATTTACATTTGCTCCCGAACGTGCAGGTACCCTTTTGCCAATTCCAACATATCTTCTTCTTGGGTCCAGCTGAAGATGAACTTCCTCTACCTTTCCCTCTTGATGAATCTCGACTTCCGCTTCTGCCTTTCTTACCTTTCATCTTGGCATCATAGACCTTCTGAGAATGACTGTAGAGACATTTGTCACCTTTGTTGCATCCTCCTTTATTGAAGAAGTAGTTACAGAAAATCTTCTTCTTGTCAACGGGTGAAGATGATCTTCCCTTCCCACCTTTGCCTTTCTTGTTGTTCTTGTCGGCATGAGACTTCGGAGAAGGTGTTGGAAGTACTGATGCAGCTTCACTCTTCGCTTTCGCCTTAGGCCGTTTGGGAGGATCACCTGTAGACGATGCAGCTGCTTCATTCTCCTTCTTGGTCTTGACGGGAGCAGCAGGTTTGTCGGCATCTTCCAGGGCAGGTGTCGTCTTGGTAGAGGACAATGACAGTTTCACTGCACGTTCTCTATCCTTCAACAGTCGTTCTTGCTTTCCTCTTGCTATGTATCCTTTGATCATACCAGTTAGGTAAACATAGGTCTTTTCCGGATGCCCTTCATCAAAGGTTTTGTATCGGTTGATATCAAAAGCCATAAGCTTTGAATGTTCAATCTTCCGGAACAATGTGTCACGCAGGGAATTGTTGGAAGGCAGATCATCATGTTTCATATTGTATACGATGTCAAGCCACTTGTTGTAAAAGGCCTCAAGTTGGTCATCTCCATAGTAGTTGAACATATACAAATGATGGGCATTGTAGAGAACTTCAGTGTGGTCAGGTGACTTGAAGCTAATCAGTATCATTGCAAATAGTTCTCGTCCCTTGATGAAGTCCCCACTTCTCCCATACAATTGGTTCTTCATGGACATGTCATACTTCACTTGCATGGACTTGTCCCCAGCATTGTCAATGACTTTCCTCAAGGCATTGGAGAGCTTGGCATCAATGGATTGGAATCTCACATCGGGTGCTTTGGCCAGAGTTTCCAAGTCAGGTTGATCTGCAAGACACGGAGCTAGCCATGCTTTCCAATCTTCATAGTTTCGATCTCCACTTGCAACACAAACTTCATGAACGACACTTCCCTTCCAGGATGAAAGTTCAGTGGTCTTAGGCCAGGGCTGGAGGCTGATCTTTTCGGCTTCTCTTAGAGATACGGATGACTTGGATCTATCCCTTTCAAGGTTCTCCAACTCCTTGACATTGGTGTTGTACTCGTTCCTGAGCTTTTCGAAGGCTTCAGCTTCTGCTCGGTACTCCTGCTCTTCGTCATTGGCACGATCTTCAGCTTGAGAGAAATTGTCCTTGTAGTAATCTTTCCGATCTTCCATCTTCTTCAACTCATCTTGAAGATTTCGAACTTCATTGTTCTTCTCTTGCTTCATCTCGTCCAACTCTGCTATCAGTTTGGCACACTTCTCTTCACATTCATTCCGAGGCATAGCATTACTGGGGTACCCATGTAATGTAGTCGGTCTATTCATTGATGAAGAAGAATGAGCTTGGTTTTCCAACTTCAGGGCAGCAATGGTGCTCGACATCTCTTCTACCTCGGCGAAACGCTCATTGGCCAATTGATGCATCTCGGTCAAGTGGCTTTCAGGAATGGAATAGTCAGTCGCACCTTTAATCACGAGTCTTCTGTCGTTCAGCATCTTGATGGACTTACCTGCATCCCTGTGAGCACGCTCAAGAGAATCCTTTTGGGCTTCAAGTTCAGTATGAAGGCGAGCAATAGCTGTGTCCCTGTCATTGATTTCATTGTGCAAACTGTCGAACAAGTTACTCGTCACATTCGGATTGTTGCTCATGTGATCGATCTTGTTCAGAGCATCTTGATATTTCTTACCAGTTTCATCAAAGTTTCGCTGGAAGACTTTGAGCAGGTCCTCAGTGTCAATGAGTTCAGTTCTGTTTTGCAAGTACAACTTGTCAACTTCAGCCTTGGATTCCTTCAAACTGTCACGCTCTCGCACGGCTTGCATATACATCTCGTATAGAGGTCCTCCATGCGGTGATCTGCTTGGTGAAGATCTTCTGGCTTGTTGACAGGAAAGTTCATGATACTGATTCTTCGATTCAGTCAGTTGTTGTTGCATTCGATCTAAAAGACTTTGTTTCATGTGTAGTTCAGAACGTAGTCCCATTATCCTCATGTCCCGCATGCCGCCTGATTCAGCTAGAGATTCTTCAGAAACCTTGTTCTCAGAAATTGCCAGTCGAGATTGTAGGTTCTCATTTTGAATCATCTGTAATCGAAGTTGTGACTCTTCCAAAGCTAAATGATGTTCACATTCTGCATAACGGTCATGTTCAGATCTTATGTTACTACGGAACTCCTTCATGATCTCGTCCCTCTTCATGTCAGCAGCATCGAGCTCAGTTTCCAGTCGTCTAACGTTCATGGCCATGGTGTGCTTCATTGTCTGGTTTTGATTGGCAACCTCGAGCATCTCGATCTGTAAAGCACATGTCTGGTCACTGGCGTAGCCGACCGCTAGAGCTTCTTGCTTGGCATTCATCTCTGCGCTTTCCAGTTCCAGTCTGAGTTGATTGATGTGAGCATTCGCATCGGCGCCCACATGTACCATGATTGCGCTCGCTTGTCCCATTTGTTCATCGAATTCCGAACGTAGTCGTGAATATTTGAATTCCAAATGAGATGCAGCTTCATTCGACATAGTCTGATACCTTTCCAACTCTTCGATCCTGTAGGTCGCACCTTCATCTTCTTGTTGTGCAGCCTGTAACTCGAAGTTCAGCATCTGGAGTTGTTCGGTCATCGACATCATCTCTTGATGAGTGGTGCTTTCCAGGAAATTAAATTGTTGATAGGCATATGCTGTCGTCTCACTCAATCTTGCCTGAAGTACGGATTCTTCTTCAGTGGCCCTTTCCAGTGATGTTTTGTACTCAGCTAATTCACTCTGATAGGCAGTGAAGATGTCGCTACCACTTGACGGGGCGTTCACTTGCTGATAAGATCCTGTCCCTGATGGTGTAGCGTCCTGAATCGGTGAAGGCGGATTCGACGACGTAGTCTTTGCCTTAGTCCTTGGAGTCATCGGAGGCGACAATTGTCGTGCAGATGATCTTCTCTTTCCAGGTGTGCTGTCCCTATCTTCAATTGCTTGCATTGTCGAAATTTGTCTCCCTCTAGGAGCAACCAGAGATTGTCTGGGTTGGCTCGTTCTCAGTTCTGAGGCATCGCTTCCACCAGTGTCGATACTCTGTGAAGAATTTGACTGCGTGCCGGCAGCTGGTGCAACGGCATGTCCAGAGAAAGAAAATGCATTATCGCTGCTATCCTGCTCAGTCATCTGTAAGGCCCGCGGCTACCCGCTCGTAGGCTCCGTAGGAGTCCTACGGCTGATAACCTGCGAATCGGGGATTGCCTGTCCGATTATGTCCTGGTAGTTAGTGTTGAAGTGATTGCTCCAGTGATGACGTTACGCGGGCAGCAGCTTCCGCATAGCTGTTCTTTACTCCAGTGCTGCAGTGGGTCTTGAGCCAAAGAGGCCAGTTTGAAGTGCCCCTTTGGTGCTGGATCCTAGAGTGTCTAATTGTGATAATATACAATGGTCCGTAGCCTACACTCTATTCGCATGTATGTATGTATGTATGTATGTATGTATGTATGGATGTATGGATGGATGGATGGATGGATGTATGGATGTATGGATGTATGGATGTATGGATGTATGGATGTATGGATGTATGCATGTATGCATGTATGCATGTATGCATGTATGCATGTATGCATGTATGCATGTATGCATGCATGCATGCATGTATGTATATATGTATGATTATGTATGTATGTAGATATGTATGTATGTATGTAGATATGTAGATATGTAGATACGTAGATATGTAGATATATGTGTGTGTGTGGAACATCCCCGAGTCCCAAGTAAAGATTTACTGTGGTCCGTTCCTCTATGGATCTTCCGAGCTAAGACCCTCCCGGGCTTAAATAGGTGAAATGACATTTCCCGAAACGCCGAAACTGGGGACGCCCCCCTATATAAGTAAGAAAACACATATGGCAGAATCAACTTCGCTATTTGTATTTCTTAAAAAAATACGAGTCGATGACATCCTTAGTGGCTCTTTACACAACACCATTTCCAACTTCTTCCAACCAGATTGACTGGAGGCTGCTTTCCCTCACAGCCACTTCACACGGCCGGTCTTCATGACTTCAGCTGCACTTCGGCGCAAAAAGGGAACGGCAGGTCGAGCGAATTGAACCGCCTGCTGCTGTGGCCCTCTTTGCAAACACGAGGATGGCTTAGAACCTTGACATCAAAATGTGCATGTATCATACCATAGGTACCGTAATGACCCATAGCCATATCTGTCATCTTATTCTTGTTCTTTTGCTGGTCAATGACCCAATGTTTTTGATGTCAACATGGTCCACCAGTGTTGGTGAACCATCTGGCAATTCACCGTTTTGATAGCTACAAATCAGGAATGTAACAAATTACCATAGGTCATCCCATTCATATTAAAATCCCAATTCTTAATGATTAAATCACCATGTTTGATGGGAGAGGGTACACATCCCCTCCCAATCGCTGATCCCAGAGGAAGTTGCCTGGCTCTTACGCCATTTCTGGCATTTCTTCCCGGAGTTGCCGCATGAGCTGCTTGTACTTGCCTTGGAACGGATGCTTGTTGGCTGGTATCAAAATAATGTATAGAAATAGCATGAACTATTCATTATTTCTATATAGCTGAATATAGTTCATTACTATTAACAATATTATTCATATTCATTACTATTCATGAACACATTATATATAGCTGTATCATGATATATCTACCTAAAGATGGTGATTCTGAGGACTTTGGGATTTACATTCATACTTCAGAATTGATCCGAGCCCCGAGACCCTGAGACACTCAAATAAACCATCAGAATGATGCAGACTTGCATGGAAATTGCCATTTTTTGTCATATATAATCACCATTTATAGATTAGTTTCCCATTAAGCCACCAATTTTTGATAATCTTTCGGGGATGTTGTATATGTTTGCTTACCAGAGGGTAATCAGTGGAAACGAGAGGTCACCAACCCCAGGGTTTCGCTTCTCGCTGCCATGCCACTGCTGATCTCCTGCAATCGCTCTTGGCCTTTGGCCTTCTCCTGGTACGCCACGTTTTTGATATCCCCAATGGTTTAAAACAAACAACAACAAAAACAATATCCTTGATTCATAAATAGTATTTGCTGGGTGATTCAATATCATATCCTTGATAGTTTCTTTATGCCAAGGATGTTGAATTATGTTGAATTAGTTAACCTGATGGTTAAAAACAACAGGAGTCAAAATATGTCGCAGGCAAAGCTCCAGAAATACCTAAAACAATGCCTATTTCCAGTACATTCTGGAGTACATGTGTTTCTCTCAAAATGATCCAGCGGATCCCGTCCCCCCTTCTTGTTGGGTAAACCTCGCCTCGTGAGTGTAAAAATACGAACATTCTCCCAATTTTGCCGGTGAAACTGTCAAATGCTCCCATTTTTCCAAGGTGCACATGGCCTAAACAGCCTAAACATCCCTAAAAGTCCATGAGATGTCGAACTCCAAGGTACCTGTTGAGAGATTCTTGGTGTTTGAAAGTTCATTTTTTTTTCATTATCTGCTGAAGAATCCAGCAGAATATCCACAAGCAATGGACCAAATCTCCCCGCCTCAGCATATTTGGCTGCGGTCTTCTGGTCGCCGGCATCCAGGGCATCTCCCTCCGCTGTCATGGCATCTGAGATGGCCGTGAGCCTGAGAGGAGCCGGTGGAGGTTGCCAGCTGTGGTTGCCAGCTGTTGGGGAAAAACATGGGGACATTTTCTGAGTTTATCTGGTTGGTGGTTTCAACCCCTCTGAAAAATATTAGTCAGTTGGGATGATTATTCCCACTATATGGAAAAATAAAAATGTTCCCAAACCACCAACCAGTTATTTATGATTTATGAGGTGTATCATTTTTTGGCATTCATTTGGAGTTGTCTTGTGTTTTTTTTTAATGGTTGCTTACCATTTTCTACGGCAATCTAACATGGCAATGAAAAATCTTGTGATATATGTTAAAAGAACTGGTTGAAACAAAGCATTTTCCGTTGCCATGTTTGAGCATTGGAACCGCATCTATTATCTGCCTAGCACTTTGATGCAATTTGAAAGACAGAAATTGATGTAATGACTAGTGGAGATCCAACAATCAATGATATAGCACTGGAGATTGCTGGAGGTTGGTTTCAGAATTTACTTTTGCCTGGTTGAGACTACAAAGATATAATATGATATAATTATCTGCAACATGTACATGTTCTAACTTTCTTCATGAGGAAACCAGCTGGTATGAACTGTGATCTTTGCTGGTTTCGGTGATCACGTGATGCCCAGCGGCACAGGGTTGGATTCCTCCAGCTGTGAGGTGAAGGTATTCACCATATTGCCATAGTACCTGTCAGCTCGTGACTCCGGATGAACTCGGATGAATCCGATGATCATTTGGCAGTGTGTCAAAACCCTGGTACCCCTTCTGTTCACATCAAAATAGCTGGGATTTATGGATGTTCATCCCCCTAAAAATAGTATGAAAATAGGTATTGATCCATACCCATTTGGATCATCTCAAGATTGCAGAGGTGCTTTCCCCCAGCTGATATCATCCGATTGTCTCCCAGCTCTGATTTCTGGAACCCCCCCAACATCTCCATCCATCCTGCAAAGGTCAAAAACCCATCAAACACCATCGGAAGTCTCCGAAATCACCATCCGGCCTTGCCAGGTCCATCTTCCCAGCTGCTTCTGCTTCACCTCTGGCCTTTGTGGCCTTGGACACCTGGTGACAGCCCCCCTGGGGATGCTGGGATGATTCCCACATGTTCCCACCACAGCCGGCCTCAATGGAGAGGAAGAGCGTCAGGAAGTTGCGGATGCCGAAACCACCTGGATCCGGAAAGAGCTGGACATGGGGAACGGATGGTAACGGCGGTAACGGGTACTAACCCGGAAAAAAAAAACGCTGGGGGATTCGGACAGCGCACGGGGTTTTACATCGTAATAGTTAGTAATGTTGGTAGTTGTGCACGTAAGCTCATCCCTCCATTCCTGAAACACGGAAAATCGCATGTAGCCTTTGACTCAAAACCTATGATGTTCCACGTAGCCATTTGGGACGGAACCAAAGGAAAATGTGGGCTGCACAGTTCCTAAAATCTCCGAAGTAATTTCACCGTAAAAACAAGCCAAACAAAGGAACCGATGGATGAACTTGGACTCCACCTGAATTTTGAATCCAAACTTAAACTGTGAACCGAGAGGCCGCAGCCAGCTTTGATGGCCTTTGGCTTCCCAGTGGCCTCAGGGACCCCAAAAATCTTTGTATTTGACTCGCCCCCAAACCAACATCAAACTGGCTTGAAATGGTTCGATCTATAATTATAACAACTGTTTTCTCTAGCAGGGTACACTTCTTGGCTTGGGCATGCTTGGACCCCCAAGTTTGAGAATCACTGTGAATGACGCCAACCCATTGTTGGCGCGCGTCAGCAGAGCTAAGTCACTGGATCATTCCGCTCAGAGCAGACGCGCCTCAGGTGGAAAGGGTGAGACAGGGAATATCTTGGAATCTTGGGATATGGATTTAAGATGAATTAAACGTAAGCAGTTGGCGGTCTCAACTGCTCTAGAAAATACCACAAGGCTGACCCATTGATATCCATTGATGCTCGTGTCTTGTATTGACCTCCGTGCCATTCACTGGTGCAAACTTGATACCACAACATACCAAAACACACAAATAATCAAGCGAACCATACAAATGCATCAGACAAATGTGCTGAGAATCGATGGAAACGGCGAGTGATATCAGTCGTTTCCAATGTTTCCAATGCCTCTAAGTCCAAAGAACATCAAAGAACAAATGTGATTCTTGTAATCCCAAATGTATATCAAATTATATCAATATATTGGGTAGTGTAATCCCCAATCATCAACCAACCCGAGTTTTCCCCTTCCCAAAAATCGCTGAAAATCAGCCCTTTTGAAGGGCACCAAGGCGCTGGATAAACTCCAGGAAGGGCGCCTCCTCCCCTGCTTGCCGCTGCAGGATGCTGCTGGTGAAGATCTGAAGCAACAGGTCCTCCCCCTGGACCTCAGCGCCACGGCAGATGGGATAGAAACGGATCATGAAAGCAAGAAATATTAACCAACAATGGTTGAGTACGGATGTTATTATGGTTACCATAAATATGTGTTTACCAGTTTGCCAAATGCGATTATGAGTTTATGTTAGTTGATGTTTTTCCTTTTGAATTATTTCTTTGGTAGGAAACCGTGGCTTTTAGGCCCTAAGTATAGGAGTTTCCTGTAAGCTACACCAATTCTCGGAGAGGTGGGTGGAGATGGGCGGAGATGGGTGAAGGATTTTCAGAGATATGATATGATGATGTGATACCATTCCAACAATTCGAATTAACCCAGCAACATCCAGCAACAAGATTTGGGTCATTCCTCTTCATAGTCTGCATCATCGGCTAACCCTTAGGGTCAGATGCAAGAGCTGCCCAGCCACATCGACCAAGACATTGTTTCTCACAATGCGCAGGTAAGTCTCCTGGCGTGTTGACTGGCATCTAGTGACAACTTGCCTGATATATACACACATATACATTATATATATAGAGAGAGATAGAGATAAAGAGCAAACAATGGCATACCCATGGCCAACCTTCATATATGTAGTGCAAGTGCATTCTCTCACTGATTGGCAAGTTGGGACATACACAGCAAGTGCTCAACCCATCCCAAAGCTAGGCTGGCCAATACATGCCATGAACCCCTCACTCCTCGCTCACGTGCTCTCGCAACAAGGCATACAGGTTACCATATCGAGCCCGCAAGACGTGGTCCAGCAGCCCCTAGCAGCTTGAGACGGTGACCCATTGGGCACAAGGGGGTAATAACATCTAATTACGTCGCAAAGGATATAGTTTCACGAAACAGCCACATCTGTTGAGAGGAGTTTTAGATAGTTTAGCGCGCTCCTCTACTTGAACTGACATGAATATCCATGCCCAAAAACAAGGAGGCGGCACCACTTGCATTTCTTGTGGAATTGTGGGCAACCACGGTTTGGAGTTTGGAAGCCAGAAATATTTGGTTGCATTGGTTGCATGGTTGTATGCCTATTGCGGCTGGTTGATGCTACTTTGAACTTGGTCTCTCGAGTTTCCATGCTTCCCCTGGTAGCATTGCATCCTTTCCCCTTTGGAGAGCCAGCCGCACCCAGCGTGTCAGCTCCGCCCGCCGCACCTTGTTCTCTGCTGGCAATGCTGCCTGAATCTTCTCCTTTGAAGCCTGACGTCAGGAGTGACTTGGAACATCCTGGAAGAGGTTTCAAACTCCAGGAATGTCTGGATATCGTGGTGGTTTTACCATGTCAAATGGGGGCTACACCTGGAAGAATGCTGGATAAACGGAAGATGATTTTGATATGAATGTCGGGTGTATTATTTCCGGCAAACTTAAGCACGTGCCCTGAGCCTCCGATTGGACATGGTTTATACAACCTGGTTTATTATTGGGTTTAGGATATTTCTTCGGCAAGATGATGTTCTGATACCCCGACTCTTACTGTCAAAAAGCGATAGTTCTTGAAAGGCTCAGTAGAAGTTTGATGGCTGAAGCCGGAATTTGTTTCTGACCCTGAACCAAACCAGCGGCTCAGAGGATGGATTTCACCAAGTATGACTTGAAGTAAATTTGAGAAACAAATGCTGATATAGATATGTGCATGCATAAAATCTCGGCCTTTTCAAAACATTAACAAACACACACACACACACATATATATGTGTGTGTGTGTCGTGTGCGTATGCATAAATACAAATAATAAAACTATAATAAACACAATTAGATGCATTCATATTGCAGAATTGGAGAAAAAACATGAAAAAACTGGTTCAAACCATTTGGTTTGCAAGTTGGCAAATCTAATGTTAAATCAAATGTTGCCACAGAGTGTTCCAGAATCAAGGCCAATGGAGCAGTGGCACTGGAAACGCTGCCCCCGTTGTTTGTCGAGGAAAATTCCCCGATTGATCCGATTGTGGCAGTTGCTTCAAGTCCCTATAATAGTGACGGTTACTGCGGTGCCAGAGAACCTTTTGCTTGCCAAAAAGGGCCTTCAAACTTTTGGACAAACAGAGTCCAACTTCGGATATGAATGTGAAGCAACCAAAAAAAGGCTGGACTGAGATGGGCAAACGGATAAACAAAATGTACACAAAATTGAGCTCTCAACAGTTCCCATCAGTTCGCATCAGTTCCCATCCTTGGAACGTTTTGGGGTCTCAGTTCCCACCTCGAGGTCCACGATGTCATTGGCATCCACCACCTCTGCCGACTTCAGCGCGGCCAGCACCTTCTCGGCCGTGGCCAAGTCCACGCCTGCCTTGCAGAGATACCTGGCATGGCTGGATTTCATCATGAAAAATGGCTGGAGCTTCAGAGGATATTAATGGGATCATAGAACCCAACTTAATATGGGATATGAATGGGCCAGATTTGTGAATGGCTACTTAAGCCTCTGGTAGTTTAAGATGTAGCAATGGTGAATGGATGAAAGTTGCCCATTTGGTTTGATGATTTACCTACTTTGATATCTGATATCTGCTGATATAATTCACTAGGATTCTTTCGAAGCCCAAATTGAGATGACTAATTAGTTCAAAGTTCCAAGTTGGCACTCTGGTGAGCGTCCTCAGAAGCAAAGGAAGAATATTTTCTGGCTGCCCACCCTTTTGCTTGGGTCCTGAAGGGCCAAAGATGTGTTGTTCGCAACCTGATTTTCTGCGTGTGATTTGCGGGAGGGGCAAACACATTACCAGCATACTCTGGTGAACGGCCCCCTCTTCTCAACAAAACTGTCCGGGATGACTTCATTATAACCGTATTCATGGAGGAGAAAACTTTGCGTATCTCATCTCACCCTTGAAGGGCAGCGAAAAAAATATACCCCTGCCATCCTTGTGATCTAGCCCTGTTCAATGGCCCTTCACTATGTGACCTGCCTGGCAGTGAGGCTGCCATAGTAAGATCTGGGGATGGACAAAAACGACAAGCCGGCGCCAGTCATCTTTCGCATGTCATTGGCTCTCTGCACCTAAGCACCATGCCGCATCTGCTAGGAGCATGCTCAACCCGGCTGGCCACTGGGCAGAAAATACGACCGAAACATACCGAACCAACTTGGCACAGCAACCTGGAATCTTCCCGCCGTCAGATGGAGGAAATAAGGTGGCCAAGATGGCCACATAGGGTCCAAAATCGGTCAAAATAATTCTCCGCAAAACAACTGTAAAATCAGCATGCAAAGGCGTAAGCCCCTAAGCCGAAGCTAAACCAAAATCCCTTATTCCTCCAGCAACAAACTTTGCCCGGGGCCCCTCAGGGCCCCCAGGCTCCACCCAGGTTCCACCCAGCTACCAAGCTGGGCAAATCCTCAACTCTCGAGGCGATGTGCTGAACACCTTGACCGACTTCCTTGAGGTACAAATGCACGTGACCTCGGCATTGGCACGGGTGGTTGGTCCATGATGCCATGGTGCCATGGTGGCTGGAACGCAAGCAGGCGGCCCACTTCAGATAGGGCGTTGTTGATGGGCAGGTACACTTGGCTCTGATCCTTCCTGGGGTGCGAAGATCAAAAGCCATGGCAGCCATGCGCTGGAGTTGCCACATAAAGATTGATGCGAATTATTCCACTATGGCAAACCCAACAAATAAACCAGATACCTAAATGTGCCATTTGGGTGGCTTTAAAGCCACACAAAAAATGTGTTTTCACTTCTGGCTAACACTCATCATCTAGATTTGCCCCTTCAAATTCAACACCTTGCTCTCCCAGAGTGAGTTTCTTGTTTGTTTTCAATCCCCAGTCTTTACGGCTAGATCCGTTTTTTCACACCGGTTTTCTGGTTAAATTTACTCCGAAATGTGGATCATGTTATAAATCCCTATGTTGCTCGATTCAATCATATCAAATCCCCAGTTTTCCCATGGACGATCATCCCACGAATGGAGGTCAGTAACTGGGGGTTGCTTCACCCACTTATGAGGCTTTCTCAAGTCATGGCATGAATGGTGGATCCCCAAGTCACTCAAATGGATTGGTTCAATACATTTCAATACTAAGTCATCCATATTCATCCATGACTTGAGGATTTTTTTGGGTGCCCATGGATTTTTGGGATTCCGCTCCATGGCCATCAGCCTGGCCATCCTGGATTTCCAACCGTGGATAACCCATGGGTCCAACCGAGGCGCAACGCCACCTTGGCGTCTGGGATGAAGGTCTCCGGCGCGTTGCCCGTCACGGTGGATTCGATCTGCGCCTCACCGGCCGCCACGACGCCCGCGTTGAAGTCCACCTTGGGGGTGAAGCCCAGGGTGTCCTGGCGCCAGGGGAAAAACCATGGGAAGACCTATGAAAATCATGGGAAAATATAGAAACATGATGGAAATTGATGGAACATATCAGAAATTTATGAAGCTGGAGAAATTTAAGGGATGATTGTTCTACCAAAACTTGTGATGTTTGGAGTCGGGCGGTTTTCTCATACAACTTGATATAGGCCCAAAGTGATAAGTGATAGATTCATAGTGATAGGATCAGTGATAACTTTGGTGCATGGCCTGTATGGCCAATTCATTGTTGAAAATGGTGAGCCTTCCGGCCTCATCAGACTCCAAGAGGCTAACCCATGTCCTCCAAGGTATCAAGGAAGCCTCGTCGGCTGACCACGTTGGAGACCCAGTGGTCGCAATAGGCAGGCAGACTCACTTGATCAAAGGTGGCCTCATGCCAGCTTGCACTAACAGAACACTGGCATATCTACCCCGAAACTTTCTACTGCTGAGGTTGCGAGCACCCTAGGGCCCTAGGGAGAGGAACAGACTGCACACTGTATGCATGTTGAAAACAGTTGATTCTTATCATTTCAGTCGGCTCCGGACCACGAATCCCAGCCCGTACCAAGCACTCCCTGGCCTCCACAGGCTGGATACCAGGCAGAACCCAAAAGTTGGACGCATCCTTCTCCTACAGCAGTGCTCGTGGTTGGTACAGCTGGGTAGGGCTGGGCCGCACCTGAGATCACCCCCGCCTCCACGAAGCGGAGCAAGGTGCCCTGGTCAGCATCGCTACTGCCAGTTTCACCCTGGTAATAGGCGAAGACCTCCCAGCAGTTGGGTCTGGTGAGCGGGGCTGCGGTCATAAATGGGTTTCACCATGGTGATAACCTGTTTGGCAAGAGCTTTGGATCTTGACCATCTACTTTGCATTATTGCCGGGAACCTGGTAAGGCCCCTTGCATCCCTAAGATCAATGGCCAGCTTGGGCAGTGTGCCATCGCCATCACATCTATGGGAGGGTCATGACCAGCCACAGAATCCCATCCACCTCTAAGATGCGAGCTCCTGGATAGTCCTGGGCTACGGCGGCAAATGGATCTGTCTGAGCTGCAAGATCCTTCACGGATCTGTTGGCGCCATCCCATCGCCACAAAATGATCCTGAAAAACTCTGCTTTTCCACCTATCTTCTCACATCCAGCGACGCTTTTCCGGTTGCACAAAGGATGCAAAGCCCACATCAAAAGCCCTTCCCGTATCCCAGTCCTTGGGCTCAGTGGCCAGCAGCTTGGGATGTTTCTCCTTGTACTTCTCTACGATGTGATCCTGGGGTAGATTCATGGATGTTTCAGCGATCTAGCATGGTGTTTCAACGGGTTGAGCATGGGTTTGCAGTAAGAAACATATGGGAAAGTGTAGTAGACATTGGATGGATGGCATTCCGCATGGGTTTGACGCATTGAATGGCCCCAAAATGAAAGGCATAAAACATGTATAACATGTCAAGGAGCAGCGGTATGTGTTTAAACATCAACATGATGGGTTTATACGTGGTTGACATTTCACTCAGTTGGTGTTTAAAGGCAAATCAACGGAAAAGCACACCAGCCCAAGGTTACGGCAAGTTTTGCCTCACACTTTTTCTTGGAGTCTTGGATGGTGCTGGATGCTTCCCAAGTCTCAAGCTCCCCCGATTTCACCCTGAAGCCAAGCACTGCAATGCCTGGCAGCCAACTGGCCATAAAACTGGCAAAAAAAAAGGGCTACATAATGGCTACATAATGGCTATATAATGGCTATATAATGGCTATATAATGGCTATATAATGAGCACACACCAGCCATTTTTTTGGGAAATGGCACTTCAGTCAATAATATGAACAATCGGTCCATCCAAGAATGGGGGCACCCCCATTTTATGGCAATCTTCATGGGGACAGTTGTATGATTCAACATGCCCACGTGATAGAGGTTGAACTACCTGATTTACCTGGGCCTTTCTACCGTTGTACACATATAGTTGTACTAACATTCTTCCAACGAGGAAGCCTTGCGGCCTGGCTATGAATTCATAGCTAAGACCATTTAAATGAATCCATTTAAGAGGATGGCTACCCAAAAACTTAAAAACTTGGGGCAGGTTTGGCATCAATATCTTTAAAGAAAAGAAGAGCAGATAC